ATAACCGCGCGACATATCCTTCGGGGGACAAATTAGCAGATAGAAAGGATTACTTTAAAAAATAATAATAATAAATAATAATGCTATGAATGTTGACCACTCCACAACATCAGCTGAGCAGTCGCGGATTTCCTAACCACAGGAGCGACGGGTCTTCCCCGCCACGGAGAGGTAAAGGAAAACAAGTAAAACAAGCAGAGGGGAGAGTAATTACGGACCCTCGGGAACCCACAGCGCGAGGAAGAAGAAACATGGGCTTTGGGGGGAGTGAGAAGGAGAGCGGGCCCAGCTCCTAAGCTCGGATTTACGCTGGTCTGTGGCGATCATCGATTTTGTTGTATAATGAGCCCCGACATACAAACATGCTTACAAGGACTCCCCTCTCCCCCCCTTTCACCCCCGCCGCACAAAACGCGTTCGCACTAACACCCCAATCCGATATGAATCCGTGCCAAGCCAAGCACTCCGCCCCCGCACGCGTCAGCAACGTTTCCACATGCACGCTTTCCCACACGCCTCCAGCATCCCACGCGACCAATTCCTGCGCCACGCTAACCTGCTTAGGCAGTCTCGCTGGAGAGCTCGCCCTCCCCACTCATCCCTGCTCCTCAACCCCATCTCCCTCCCTCTTTCCTCTCTATTGTCTCTTGTCCTTTCTGTAGTTCGTTTCTTCAGCTTCTCTTTTCTGTGATTTCCTCTCCTCATTATTTATTGCATCTGACTTCTTCCATTATTGTATCTTGGCTTTCCTTCTTCCTCTTCCTTCCCTTTCCCTTCCTTGTTTCTCTCCCTTTCTCTCCTATCCTTTCCTGACGTTTTACTCCATTCTCCCCCTCCTTTTTATCCACTCCCTCATCTCCTTTCTTCTCCCCCTCTCCCCACTTCCCTTTCCTATCTCTCCATCGTCTTCTCAGCCTCTCCTCCACTCTCACTGCCCTTGCCCGGTCCCTCCCCTCTGCTCTCCCTCCCCTTGTCCCCTTCTCTCCCCCCCTCCCCTTGCCCCGGCCCCCAACTTCCCCGATCTATGTCCCCCCCGCCCCTCTCCCCTACTCCTGCCCCCTACCCCCCTGACCTCAATCTTATGCCCCCTTCACTGTCCCTTCAACACATCGATCTCACTCTCGCTACGCCACCGCCCCTTCCACAGCCCCCGCGCCTCGCCACCAACGGACCACTCCCCCACCCTAACCCCCACATCCCCTACCTCCCCATCCCCCTACAACGCGCCCGTGACCTCGGCCTTTGCCCCGCCTGCGCCTCCCCCGGGATGCTGTTGTCCCGAACCCCAAGCGCCAAAGACCAGGCGCGGTGAGCACGGCAATTTGCGCTCTTCAGCTACCTCCCTTTGCCCTGTTTGTGAGTGGATGAGTGAGAGTGTGAGTAAGTGAGTGAGTGGGTGAGTCTGCGTTCGCGGGCATGTGCAGCGTGCGAGCGAACGTAAGCGTGGACGTGTGTGCCCGAGTACGCATAGGCGTGTGGACCTAACCAATAACTACGGCTTCCTCGCGGGTTCATCCTCCCCCCCCCGCCCCCTTGTTCAACGACGATTCAAGTTCAGAGTCCTCGCAATAACTTTCTTTGTCTAGTGTTCTATTCCGTTCGCGGCCTGGAGCGCCACCGCGTTATCCCTACCCTTCATCTCACCGAACTTTTATTTATTATGAAAAATAAAAAAAACTCGGTCTTACATGCTATTCCCTTGTTATTCCATTTATCTACATGTCCACTGTCTCTAACTCATTATCATTATCATACTCTATGACGTATTCCTAATGATCCTCGTAAACATTTTTTAAATAAACGATCGGATTATTTCTCCTAGTTTCTTCTACCGTCCATTAAATTTCTTTTATCGCT